TCGTTGTGAAGTTTTTTGAATTCTCATATACTTGTATTTTGATTGGTCATTGCAGCTTATGTAACAGCGTTTCCCCTAGCAAGGGATGTTTGATTGATTTGAACCTTTTAAAACCCTTTATTCTACATTCAACACCATCACTTGATAAGACACCAGAAGTGTTGAAACAAAATGGGTATTTTTGTAGTGATTTTATACCATATTTATGTTTTAATTTTCGAATAAATAATTATATTTGCCCTACTCTGTATTGAGCACTCTTTTAAGAATAGTATTTGTTGGTTATTAGAATTTATTCCGTATATATATATATATATATATATATATATATATATAGATAGATAGATAGATAGAGAGAGAGAGAGAGAGAGAGAGAGAGAATGAGAGAGAGAGCGAATCACGTATGTTTTTCGTGAAACCTGATAAATATATATAATTAGTAACATAATACTACACTATATATGTGTGTGTGTGTGTGTCTCTGTGTGTGTGCGCGCGCGCGTGCAGTATTATTTTACTAATTATATATATTTATCAGGTTTCATATATATATTATTTTACAATGTGTTAGGAATACTATTTTAGAATTTTTTCTATCCTTCGAATGACATTGTTTCCTTTTTTTCAGGTCACCATTTCTTCTAAAATTCATTTTGAAGTCAACAACTTACCCTTTTTTTTCAATGTCACGAAACCCCCTTCGTGATTATGGGCTTTTGCATAAAAAAAAAAGGATGAAAGGACTGAATTCATGTGAATGTTGATTTTATGGCATGCTGAATGAAAGAACAGACGAAGGAAAAATACAGGAGGAAAATGAAGCAAAATGGCGTCGCTCGCCATATGTCGGTTCTAGTTGGTTGTATACCAGAATCAATACAGTTTCTTGTTCTCGACTCAAAACACCAGGAGGGGACCATTCCTCTCATTATTTGCCAACCGCATTGAAAAAAAAAAAAAAAGCTGGAATAATTTCTATGGCAACACCTATCATCAGTTGCAACTGATAGTCTTATCATCGTCATTTTCGAGTTTGGTGACAGGAATCTAGAAGGGTTGTGATGGGTGTTGGTAGTAGAAAAAAAAATGCAGCGACTTTCCCAGGGGACGAATCAGCCAAAATAAAAAATGATTTTTTTTTTTAATGTTCTGAAATGTCTTTCTTTCCATTTTTCGATTTCGTATTTAGTTTACCAATGGCGTCAAAAATGAAAGCATTTTTTTGTCCTGTCATTAATACAGCGTTTTCACATGTGAGTCTTTCTAAACTTTTCCAAAAATTATATTAATATGCAGTAATTTGGGGCAGGGGATCAGTTTAATACTTAATAACAAAAGGAAACCGATCCCCCATTTTATATCGTACAGAATCTTATATTCTTCTTCTACGAGATGGTATCGGCAAACAGTGGACCCTCAAACAAAACACTATGATAGTATAAAAATACATTTTTATGGTAAAAATGCCAGCAAGACATTTTTATATAAAAATATCTGTCGATAATTCTGGGGCGAGATATTGCAATTATTTACATTGTTTGGTTGTTGTGCTCATTTTTATTGGCATATTTATGATGTTTCGGTCGTTGTACACTCCGGCCTTCTTCAGGTGACTGCAATTTCAAACTGAACCCTTTATTTCGCCCACCAGGGTACATTGTTCTAGTTCCACGTGCCCCGCCTCTTCCCGATGTCTCAGTTATCTCCCTTTAACACAACACCACCAAGTTATTGTTCACCACTGCAGTAGCCAGCACATTGGGTCAAGTCCCTTGTTCCAACCAACGTTTTTATCCACTGAATGAATTTTTGGGACTTATATTCTTAATTGCTCAGTAACTGTTTTTATTTTTACCAGACCTCATATTGCAATTTTGTTATTATTTCTTTTCTCTAACACTCCGTATTACTGATTTTCATATTGTATTCATTTCTATGCTTGGCCGGATTAGATTTTTGTGGCTTAGCATATGTGTTGATTCCTTAAGTTTTCGTATTTTCCAGTGATGTTCTCTGTCTATTATTTCAACCTCATCCCACAGGAGGCGGTGATCTCTTCTCCAGAGGTGTTTTCGATTCAACCATTTTGAAGTATTCTGATGTTATATGAACCACAGCTTTTGTATTTTTCTATAATCCTTCCCTGTTTCTGAGTGTTGTTATCCTCTTATACCCATCAATCCCAGTTTTTCGGAGCTGATGCCAGTGGTATTGGTTCTTGGGGTTAAAACATAATTTTCTTTACAATCAGGATTCTATTCTTGGTTTGGCTATTTTTTGAATCTACAGTTCTATATTTTAAGAATGCGTCCAGGAATGTGAATTTGTTGTCGTTTCCTCTTTTCATTCTGAACTGTATCGATGATTTTATTGATTGGATTGCTTCGGTTTGTTTTACGGCATATCAACCTCAATGGGTTATTTAATAATTTTTATTGAGTAAACCAACAATGATATAAGAAAATTTTATTGCTGGTCCCAAATTAGAAAACCTGTTTTTACATGTATATTTGGGGGTTAATAGACCAATCTGGGACCTTAACAGATATACCACTCCGAGAAACCAGGATATAGGATTCCACGCTCCTCAAAACATACTAATCAGTTTGACTCCGGTCCTTACCCAGACAACTTTATCGTCATAAACCCTAACCCAGGGCGGAATTTTATATCTTCCAGTTGCTAAGGACATTTGTTTTTTATTATTAGTTACTTCTTTAATAAATTCGTTTCGTTTTGCCTTGAAAAGTCCACATCGGAGGAAACGCGTTAGTTTTCCTACCTTTACATTTATAAATATTGTCGGTTAAAAAATTTTCATAGCATATAATAATTGGAAAATCGTTATCAGTCCTTTTTTACTATTAAAAAATGTCACATTCCTTGATATTTTTAAATAACATGTGAATTTACTTATTATAAAAACGCAGATTCTATTAAAGAAGTGTGTGTTTGTGTGTGTGACGATTGGATCAACTTTTATTTAATAAGGACTAATAGAACAAACACTTTCAAAATTGGAAAAACAATTGTTTTTGCACAAAATCAATTTGAAAACTTAATCTTTTCGAGTTATAATTATAAAACCAAAATTATTTTTCAGAGCGAATAAAAATTTACAAGACAATTTTTATCATAAAATCAAAATCAAAAACGATTGAAAACAATTTTTTGTTTGAGTTTGAACGTAAAAAAACTAATAAGACATAAAATGGTAAACAATAATCTTTGAAATTTTTCATGACAATGATTAAAAAAACGCCGGGCTTACCGTAAAATATATCTTCCAAATAATTAATTCAAAATCAATATATTACTTAATACTAAATAAAATCGAAATTTTATATCCTGCTGAATCTCATATGGTAATAACCTATAAATGTGGTAAATAATAAAAAATATATTTTTCTAGTAAATATGGTAATAACGAAATTTATGAAAATAAGCAATCTTCTCTTGATTAAAAATTACCATATAAAGACCCGGATATAAGAGAAACCCGGATATATTAAAAAATATGTATACATATAAAACCTGGATATAAAAATATAAGAGACCTTTTCCGGTCCCGAAAATATCCGGTTATAACCGAAAATAATTATTATCGACAATGATTTAAAATTTCCTAGTGATGCCAGTAAAAACTGGTAATAAAGACCTTTTCCTTGTAGAGCACAAATCCACTTCTTTATAGAAATAAAAAATATAAGAGAGAGTTATCAAATTAGAGCCTGTGTTAATAAAAAATAGACCAAACCCGATACATTAAAAACAACTCAATTCATGACCCAAAAAAATATAGCTAAAACAATTCTAGAAGTGGTAGTTGTGGGACAAAAAATAAGAATAGAACAAACACTTTCTATAATCTTCTAATCTTTTTTGTAAAGAAAAAAATGATAAAATCAATAACGAAATATGATAATGATAAAAAAAATATACCGATTAAAAAATGGGTAATAACAAAATATGACAATGAAATAAAATTTACCAAAAATATGGTAATAATAAAAGAAATTACCGTAATATGGTAATAACTAAATATGACAATGATTAAAAATTACCGTAAAATAGTATTAAAAAATACCTTAAAATATAATAACAAAATAATAAAAATTACCTTAAAATGGTAAAAAAAATAACGATAAAAGCAGATATGACAAACTGATTAAAAAAAGAGCGTTTGCCGAAAATAGTAAAAATAACAAAATAAATGCTAAAAAATTACCGTAATGATTCAAAAATTACCGTAAAATGGTAATAAAAATTACCTTTCAGTAGAAAATAGTAAAAAAATTTAAAAATTCAAAATGGTAATAACGATAAAAAAAAAATTATCAGCACAGATACATTAAAAATCAATTTATAACCAAACTGAAACAATTCGGAACAAAAAGAGCGTAAAATGGTAATAACGAAATAAGACAATGATTAAAAAATTACCGTAAAATTGCAATAACAAAATACGACAATGATTACAAGTTAGCGTAAAATGGTAATAACGAAATAGGACAATGTTTAAACAATTACCATAAAATGATAATAAGGAAATATGATAATGGTTAAAAAAAAATGCCGTAAAATGATAATAACGAAATATGACCATGATTAAAAAACAGCCACTGACAAATATTGCACACCTGAAAATCTAAAATTAATTATGACAATGAGCCTTTAATCATATATTGTATCATTTTACATTAACTTATATTGTTATGTTAGCCGCTATTTTTGTTATAAATTGTTTCTTTTTTGTTATAAGCTGCTTTTTATATGCCTTCTTTTATCGCTCTAATAATTTTATAATAATTTTATAATAATATCAGTTTACACATGCCTTCAAAAATTATGAGATATTTTGTTAAGTTTTTAATATAATTAGAAAGCTTTCACATATGAGTCGTTAAATATATATTTTCAATTATTATTGTCATATTTTGCACATCTCTCGACTTCGTAAATATCGTCGAACATTCGAAGATACTGGCAAAATGAATCAGTGCGGAGGAGATAACAGAATTTACAGAAATTATAGAAATACACGTGTTTCAACACCTATCTATCTATCTATCTATCTATCTATCTATCTATCTATCTATCTATCTATATCATCTATCTATCTATCTATCTATCTATCTATTATCTATCTATCCATCGCTATCACCTTCCTTCCTTCCTTCCTTCCTTCTATCTATCTATCTATCTATCTATCTATCTAAATCTATCTATTTCAGTCTGCAGGTTCCTTCCTTCCTTCCTTCCTATCTGCTATCTATTTCTATCTATATCAGGGAAGTTTCCAGCATCCTATCTATCTATCTATCTATCTATATCAGTCTGAACCCTTCCTTCCTATTCTATCTATCTATTATCTATCTATCTATCTATCTATCTATCTTTGTATATGTTTGTCCTTCCCATGTTTCTATCTATCTATCTATCTATCTATCTATTCTATCAGTCTGTTCCCTTCCTTCCTTCCTTCCTATCTATCTATCTATCTATCTATCTATCTATCTATCTATCTATCTATCTATCTCAGTCTGTTCCTTCCTTCCTTCCTTCCTTCCTTCCTATCTATCTATCTATCTATCTATCTATCTATCTCAGTCTGTTCCTTCCTTCCTTCCTTCCTTCCTTCCTTTTCTATCTATCTCTATCTATCTCAGTCTGTTCCTTCCTATCTATCTATCTATCTATCTATCTATCTATCTATCTATCTATCTATCTATCTATCTATCTATCTGGTCCTTCCCTTAATAAAATAAAATCTATCTATCTATCTATCTATCTATCTATAAAGTCTATCTCAGTCTGTTCCTTCCTTCCTTCCTTCCTTCCTTCCTTCCCATCTATCTATCTATATCTATCTATCTAGATATCTATCTATCTATCTATCTATATTATGGAATTTAGCCACGCAGATATAAATAGAGAAGGACTGCCTTTTGAGAGGGAAGTTTCCATAGTCAATCAGCTCTGAGAGTCAAACCGAACATTCTTGGAACACTCTTGTTTGTATATGTTTGTAAATCTAATATATTTGTTTAACTCAATTTTTCTCAGGTCTTTTAATAAAGGGAATCTCAATCCGGTCCTTCCTATCTATCTATCTATCTATCTATCTATCTATCTATCTATCTATCTATCTATCTATCTATCTATCTATCTATCTGTCTTCCTATAATAAAATAAAACAACTGCAAATCATAAAATTAGTATAATGGATAGATAGATAATAGGAAGGACCGTAATAGTTCTATGGGACACATAATGAGGAAGGAGGGCCTCTAATCTGATACTTTGAATAAAGGAAAGAGAGACAAGTGAAAAATTTCTTCCTGAACTCTTGGCTGTAACCGTAAGTTCTATGCTAATTTTTCTTCTATATTCTCGCATATAGATATATATATATATATATATATTTATATATATATATATATTGAAATATATATATATCAAGCTCATGAATGATTGAAATATAAATATATATATATATATATATATATATATATATATATATATATATATATATTCGAACTTCATTTCATATAGCTCATAAATGATTGAAATGAAGTTCAAATATATATATATATATATATATATATATATATATATATATATATATATATTTTTTTTTTTTTTCCACCTATTCTTATTGTATATTTCTCTGTTTTAATTTTAAATCTCCCGTGGAAGCCTGAAGAGCAGGAGCGAAACCAGTTGCTTTCCCCTTGTTGTTGTGTTTTTTTTATTATTTAATATTGTTTTAATATGTCTTGTAATATTAAATTTTATACTTTTTATTTCGATCATTAAATTTTGTACCTACAAAATATCTTTAAATATATATATATATATATATATATATATATATATATATATATTTTGAACTTCATTTCTATCCTTCGTGAGCTTCCGATCCTTCGATATATATATATATATATATATATATATATATATATATATATATATATATATATATACAGGATAATTTTTCAACTTATTCGAGATGATCTTCGCCCTCTCTAACCTTCTAACTTTCAGTCCTGGAATAACAAGTTACGATTTCATTTTCAAGTTTGTTTTTTTTTGTTTTTTTTGTTTTTTTTACTGCTCTTTGGACTGTCATAGCTGAAACTCCTCTTTCAAGTAACAAACGTCTTATGGATTTAGTTGGATATTTTCTAATTGATCTCTTTAGCTCTAAATTGAAAGGATGATCCATCTTCCTGTTTTCCTCTGTACTGTTATTTTTTTTTTAAAACTTATTCATCGTTCTCTTGATAGTTCTTGAATGGACTTTGAAGATGGAAGCCAGAGTATGAAAGTTATTACCATTACTGAAGGACTTAATGATCTTTTTCCTCTCACCATTGCTCAGTTGGGAAGATATAGTGGGGCTGACAGAAAACTATTTTAACCTGTTCTCTTTCTAGCTGAATAACTCAAAGGGTTTTTCAGTGATTCTTACGTCAAATGGTGTCAAGATGGCTAAACGTGTTATCTGAAAACCTTGAAAAAAAGAAACACAATTAGTTTTGTGGTTTCTTAGATATTAAATATTTTGTGTGGTGAACAATTATCCCAAGTTGTAAGATGATTTGGACAATTTTGCTGTTACACCCAGTGTATTCTTTTTTTTTTTACCGCTGTAATCTTATGCAATAATAAGCGCTAAGGAGAATGTTTCCCACGTGACTAGTCATGACAGGAACAATACGAAACTCTTTACAATTCGATAAAATACTTTTAAATCTGCACATCACATTTTTTAAACGAAGTGAAAAAAGTTTTTCTTCGATGCCCGCATTATTATCTGGATTTTTAACGATTTATATATATATATATATATATATATATATATATATATATATATATATATATATATATATATATATATATATATATATATGCATGTATATGTGTGTGTGCACGAGTTTATTATATACATTTTTGATGATTAATCACTGTTATTAATGGATCGTCTGAATGGAAAGAAACTGTACATAGAATGCAAAGGATAGCAGGAAATAATTTTTACGTTAGATATTAATACAAAAGAATTTGATAGATTTCTTTTTTATAAAAAAAAAATACATCTTTCTGAATTCTTTGGGAATTGATAAAAATCACTATTGACGGAAAGACAAGGCGAAAGTGTATATTTTAGTGAGAAGTCTTTTAAAGATTTCTCAATTCAACGGGGGTTATTGATGAAAGCACAATGCGCGGAATACAATGAAAACTTCTTGCAGGCTTCAAGAACATTGTATTGAAAGTAAATCGTGAAAATAAGAAAGACGCGTTTTTTTTTGCTTGTTTTTTTTTAATTTAAAAGGCAATTTATAACCTGTGTGCAAAAATTGCATTTATCGAAGGCTGAATAAAATAATTAATATCAACTAAATGAAATGTGCTGTGAAAAAAAATGAAAAACTGAGACTATATTCACAAAGGTTAGCTAAGTCTGGCACATGATCATACGTTTTAGAATTACACTAAGGACTGAAATCGCGATGTCATTAATAACTTAAGAGATTAACTCGTGAAACATCACTCTGACACAAACAGCAAGCATAGAAGTTTTATAAATTTAGCATTGTCTGGCACAAGGACAAAATGTTTTTTTCGTGATCATCGAAATTTATACACTAACAAGTTTACTTTTTGATTTATTCGAAAAATTGTTCTAATATCGAATGTTATAGATGTTACTATCAGCTATATAAAGCATTTTGCCCCAGATCAATGAATAAAAAATCACCTCAATCGAATTAATCTTGTAAGTCTTGGCAAGAACCATCTTTCTTCGAACTTTATGTACTGGTTCTACAGAATCGCAAATAAATTTATCAAACAGTATAAACAACATCACTTAGAAATATGCAATGCAGCAAGAACTAAAATGGATGGCACATGTAACCCGAAAGGAAAATACGGACATAAGCAAAATATTGTCCTACCACAATACCTTAAACAAAAGGTTAGAAAGGCAACTCCCATCAGGAAGTGTGATAACTACTTTCTGGAAAAATTGTCCTAGAAAATTTCAACCAACAATAGCGATAACTGCTCTGTCAAAGAATACCTAATGTTTCCTTATAAGGAAATGGCAACGCCAGTCAGGAAGTATGATACCTATTTTCTGGAAAAATTGTCTTAGAAAATTTCAACCAACAATAACGGTAACTGCTCAGTCAATGAAAGCCTAATGTTTCCTTATAAGGAAATGACTATTCTCACAACTACCATTACCATTAATACAGCTTTTTTTCTGTTTCTGAAGAATATCACTATTTCTAGTGGCGTTTGAACTTCTGTGTCTCACTCTGCGACGTCTGTTATGTTTCATAGACTGGCGCTACAGAAACACAACGAAGAAGTTTGCCAAATAACCAAAAACATCACTTTAAGACGTCCTGGTTATGGCGACAAATTACATCCGACGGCAAGGCCTCTCTGAACGGGAGATTTTGAGGAACGTGGAAACCACTTCTTAATTTCAAGTTGTCCCCAGGTCCACGTTCACACGGTGGGGGGTAGTTCCGGTTAAGGTTCAAGCTATGGGCAAATACTTAAGGCCCTGACCGTGTGTAAAAAAACTATGAAAGTATAAAAATAGATTTTTATAGTAAAAATACCAGCAATACATTTTTGAAAAACAAATTACCAGCAATACATTTGATTCTCGAGAAAAACCCTCCTTAAAAAAAGTCAATAAAACCTAATCTACAAACTGATTCCTTACACAGAATCATTTCAGTTATGTGCCATACATGATACACGCTTAGGCGATCATGTATCTTTCGATACATGAATGACGGGACAGATTTTCCCCGCAGTAGGTTGCTATTTCTTTCTGCGGTAGACCAGGTGCCATCCAAATCTATAGAACCCGGTCTGTCTTGCTATTTACCAATAGCTGGGGGAAGAAGAAGAGGATTCATACAGGAATATAATTAAAATTCTTAAAGTGTTTAACTATTTAGTCAGTTATGTGTCATGAGTGATACATGCTTAGACGATCATGTATCGAAAGATACATGACTGACGAGGCAGATTTTTTTTTTCCCGCAGTAGAATCCATTTCTTTCTGTGGTAGACCAGTTGTCATCCAAGGCTATAGATCCCAGTCTGTCCTACTATTTACCCATAGCTGGAGGGAGAAGAGGATTCTTAGCTTTCCCAAGGGTATTAGCCCGTAAGTGAATGTAATGGATTCGACTGGAACTCGAACTCGGCTCTCTGATTCCTCAATCCGAGCCGCTTACAAAGATTGCATACTCTGTTCATAGGAACCTATCGTAAAATTCTTGTCGGCATTAAATAACCCATTGGTATGCCGTAAAATAAAATACACCATACTAACCCCTTGAAGACTTTCAACATTAGTTATAACTTAAATGGCTAGCGCATGTAAAAAGAAGAGAAAATACTGATATAATCAAGATATTGATTTTCCATACTATCGTAAGTAAAATGTTAGAAAGGCAACCTCCCGTCAGGAATAACGAGATCTGTGAACTTGAGCAGCCAATCTTCCTGTAAAAATGGATAGTGGTACGGATTGAAGAATCGGGGAGCCGAGTTCGAATTCCAATGAAATCCATTACATTCACTTGTGAAAGGTAAAAATCCTCTTCTACTCTCACCCAGCTATGAGTAAATAGCAGGACAGACCGGGTTCTATAGCCTCGGATGGCAACTAGTCTAGCGCAAAAAGAAATGGCAACCTACTACGGGAAAAAAAAAATCTGCGTCATCAGTCATGTATCGAAAGATACATGATCGCCTAGGCGTGTATCACGTATGGCACATAACTGAACTGAATATTTCAAGAAGTTCCTCGCATTGTAATTTATCGAATGCCTTTGCATTATATATGCATTCTATCTCTCTACTTCTCTCTCTCTCTCTCTCTCTCTCTCTCTCTCATATTGTTGGATTACGATGCTGCCTTAAACAAAGAGTTATAAGGAAACCCTCTTCAGTACTAGAAAGATTGATAACGCTCGTCTTGAAAAACCTATTTTCCTCAAAAACGGTTCTCAGAAGATTTTATTAATTACAACCGATAGTAATGCTAACTGTTCGGTCAATGAACGCGGAAAGTTTCCTTAAAAGAAAACCGCTAATCTCTGCATTCTAATTGCTAATGTAGACACGTTTCGATCCAGTTCACTC